TTTCTTTTGGATTTCCGAGACCGTTACAATTGTTCTCTTTTCTTGCTTATTTCCCTCTTGCAATTAGGGTGAATAGTATATACTATTATATCCTTAGATTAATATCCTTGTCTTTTTTTTTTGGCTTCTTTAATGGGTTCAAACCTATCTTCGTCATTGATCCATGCTTGGATAGAAAGTTGAAAGACATGTTGTAATCTTTTAGCTCTTCTCTTTGTAATGGATCCACTTGACATTGAGATATCTTTTCTGATAACTTGATCTATTTCCATACTCACATCATCCCCTACCTCTTTAAAAAGATTCATCCTCAAATCTGGACATGTATCAAAAAAGGAAAGGTCAAAAACATTAGATGTAGCAGACACACCGTACTCACTTGGGAGATCAATTTTGTAGGTGTTGTCATTAATACACTCTAGAACTTGAAAATGTTCATCTCCTTAAGGATCCAACTTAGATTTTCGTTGATTGGGAAATATTTTTTTTTGAACACACACTCATTCATTAGGTTGGAAAACTACTTGTTTCCTTCCTTTATTGGTGTGTCGTGCATAGGATTCATTTTTCTTCTGGATATGCTGTATGGCCTTCTCATGTATGGCTTTAATAAGTTCTCCTCTCCGCTGACTATCAGTATCATGAATTTCTTGAAAAATTAAAGACGTGAGATCCAACGGAGTTAAAGGATTAAAACCATAAAGAATCTCAAAATATGAAAACTCTATAGACGTATGAATGCTCCTATTATATGTAAATTCTACCATAGGCAATTAATCCTCTCATGTTTTCAAATTTCAGCCAGTTACAGCTCTCACTAATGATCCTAAGGTCCTATTAATGACCTCAATCTAAAAATTGGTCTGGGAGTGCACGCAGTAGAGAATAAAAACTTAGTTCCTAATTTATTCTACAGAACTCTCTAAAAATAACTAAGAAATCTCACATCCCTATCACTTACAATCGCCGTAGGAATGCCATGAAGTCTCACAACATCCTTAAAAAATAGGTTTGCAATATTTGCCACATTATCAGTCTTATGGCATGCAATGAAGTGTGTCATCTTACTAAATTTATCAACAACAATAAATATACTATCACTACTTCTCCTGATCCTAGGCAATCCTAGTACAAAATCCATAGATATATATATTCAAAGTGTTGTAAACATAGGTGAAGGTGTGTATAATCCATGAGGTAGAACTCTAGATTTGGTTTACTTGCATGTAATGCACCTACTACAAATGCACTCAACATCTTTCCTCATGTTAGGCCAATAAAAATGTTCATTCAAAATATATAACGGTCTGTGAACTTGAAAGGAAATAAATTATGAATTAAATGCGAAAACAAAATAAATAGTTAAGGTTTACATTCCTTACACAATAATTCAGATTACCCAATAGGGATACTGGAATGATCATTTTAAAAGAAATAACGAAAATCCAAGAAATTAATAGAAAATAAGTAACTGGGCATCCTATTCATAACCCTCTTGTGGATCGGGCTCTAAATCTTGGTTCTCTTGATCTGAAATGGATAATAAAAGAGTGAACTACAATAATCCAGTAAAAATATTACGTTATTCACCGATACAAAAATGAAGGTTAGTAAAAATTA